CCTTCTTCTCCATCCTCCTCAACTTCCTTCAGGTCCGCAAGATGTCCTCTCGAGCAGCAGCTTCCTTCGTCTACGCTTCTGCTGGTACCTCTCATCCTTCCCTCCTCCCCTTCCTCGCTCTCCCGCCGCCCTCAGCCCCTTTGTTGCTGCCGTTCTCACTTCCACCATCATTACCATCTCCTCTCCTTCGTCATCTTGCCCGTCCTGCCTCCTGCCTCCTGCCTCCTGCCTCCTGCCTCCTGCCTCCTGCCTCCTGCCTCCTCCTGCCTCCTGCCTCCTCCTCCTCCTTTCTAGTCTTCTCCATCTCCTCTCTTCTCCAACAACCACAAAGTTCACGCGTCATCAAGGACAAGGACGAACGACGCTAGTGCGCTCCATGAAGGACTACGTGGACGTTGCTGGTGAGGAACAGGAATGCTTTCGGTGTGCAGTCCTAACATTAAGGCTTCAGTCAAACTAGGGAGGAAGAAGAATAGAAAGAAACTCAGGAAGATGAAGAAAGGTCAGCCAAGTCCTCCTTCCTCCCGGGCGATGACGAGGGTCCGCAGAGCTGGAAGAGGGAAGGTTCAAGAGTCCTATGTTCGACACCAGGAGGTCTGCTGCTCTTACCCTGGACTGCTGTCTTATCCTATTCCTCCTCCTTACATCCCTCCTCTACTCACGCTCCTCCTGCACCTCCCTCACCTCGTCTGCAGATGGGTCAAGACCTTTCAGAAGCTGATCCGGATGCTATGGGACGCGCACGCAGGTGATGCTGACGGCAGGAAGATTTGCTGCCATACCTTCTCTCCTGCTCGCCTACTATCCTTCCTCCACTCCTTGCCCCTCATTCACTCCATCATTTACCCGTTCACAGATGGCATTGATGAGATTTCTGTACATCAAATCTCGGAACTCCTGCAGCAAAGGAAAATGCACGTAGTCGCCGCCGATATTGTCCCTCCCAGCTGAACATTGATAACGCAATCATCATACATCTGTCGAATAACAAACAAGGTCTCATATGGTCCGATGTATGGGAGTCTCCGACTCTCTAGAGCACATACAGGAGGCAACGGAGGACCAAGGGGGTCAAGACCAACCATCATAAGATACAAGCATCTACAAACTCTTGATGTAATTTACAAATTAAGTCGTAGTCTACACCCGCCATACCATATCTATCGAGAAGACAACCAAAAAGACTCCGTTAAGAGAAGCGCTTCCTAACACGTTCCACTGCCCACAACCCTCCCATCCTCCCTAGCAATCACCAGGTCACAGCTCAAGTAACCTGTCAGCGGGAGATCCTCCTTCCCAAGTATCAACTACCAACGGCAGGAAGGGTGGAAAGTTTGCAGGACGACATCTTCTCAGATCTGAACCGGACCATGTTGAAGGTAGTCTCCGGGTCCATCCTCCTTAGCAGGAGAGCCTCAAAATAGCTCCCATCTCCTTGACCTGGGAGACTCTTGACGCTGGGATGCAGTACGTCGCCTCTTCACCATCAGAGATCGAGGAAACGATCACCTGCGATATAGTGAGCGTCTCGCACTACAAACCAATTGTATCATCCTACCTGACCGTTCGCCAGTGTGTTCAGAACATCCGAAGCATTCTTCACTGGAACTCCAGCAATGATCGCCCACTGACCGGCGGTCTTGGGCGTCACATCTACAAGCATTGCAGCAAGAAGGCCTGTCCTGCTAGCCATGGCCAGTGCGGTGGAAACCGCGGCGGCATCCAGCAATTCGGAGCAGCGGCCAAGAAACTCAGAATCGGAAGTAGCAGCAGCTGGCATTCTGACAGGAGATGTTTCTTGATGACAAGTGTGTGAATACGAATTCAGATCCTGATTGCGATAGCGACAGAGGAAAAACTGTGCGACGATGCTGCGGTGCAACAGCGCCTTTTAAATTGACATACGAGCCGGATACAAACCGAGGAAAGAGATCGAACCAAGAAGGTACGGAGGAATTTTGTGCTGGCACACGTAGCAAGCTCCTGATTCGATTGAGACAATGACGGTGGAAAGGAAAGACAGCAAGCAACGGAGCGGGTCAGAGGTGGATAATGATCGAGAGGATTGCAGAACGCCGACAAGAGCGAACGAGGACGCACAAAGCTGCACAGAGGGAGGAAAGAAGTGATCACGAGATGCAGTGGAGGATAGACACAAGAGGAGGAGGAGGAGGAGGGAGTAAAGAAGGAGCGAGGGGGAGGAGAAACAGCAGCGAACGCTGGAGGCTGAGGAGGCGGATAGGACTGGTTGAAGGATGCGAATGAGTACCCACCCCCACCGTAGCATAAGATTGCAGGGGAAGATAGGGGTAGGGCTCCCCCAGACATTCCAACTGATGGGTGTGAAGTAGGGTAAGGGGTGGGGGGGTCAAAGGGGTAGCTGGATCAGGGGGTAGGTTTAGAGCACTCCCAGGGGGTAGAAGGTGGGGGTAGTCAATTCGAATTTTTCTTTTCGGGGTCAGGGGTTGGAGGGGCTAGTACCCTACCCCATATATTCATTCATATTTCATATAAGAAGTACGGGTAGGTTTGAATCAGGTGGGGGATGGGGTTCTCAAAAGGGTGGGGTCAGCTCACGGGGTGGATCAGGAACATCGGGAACACGGGAGTGTGGGAGAAGGACCTCAGGGGGTGCGGGTTGTCGAATATAGGGGTGGGTACTCCATGGTAGGGGTCATTCTAGACGTTTCTACAAAGTGTGTATTGAGCAGACGGTGGGTAGGACCGAATTGATTCCGGGAGGTATAGGAGGGTGGGGGTGGGTAGAAGCGATCAACTTCGAGGGTAGGGTACTCTGTGTTTCAGGTCCCCGAGACCCATCATGGAGAATGCACCCTACCCAGGCACAACAACCACTCTTTTACATGTACCCCTATATTTCAGATACAAACATGGGAATAAAGGTGGGTACTTCATAACATGGTCGGATGAGGAGGGGGGGGCACTCAATCTTTCTCGTGGTGTAGCTTCGAAGCTCTGGTGGACCTCGTCACATCCTGTGGATAGTAGGGTGGGGTGGTAAAATACACTTTGTCACTTGGTAGAAGTAGGGGTCAAACTATATCAAAAGACGGGGTACCTGGAGTTGGAGTTCTCCGAAGAGGTGAGGCTATTCCCGGGGGTGGGGTCCAAAGAGTGTTCTGTAGCCGTGGGCGGTACGATAATCGTGAGGCGGTGTCTCCTGGAGTGGGGAGATGTCCTCCAATTAGGGGGTGGGTGTAGAGAACAGAGGGGGTGGGTAGTGTTGTTTGCGGATAGACTGGGGTAGTGGATGAAGGGGATTTCCAAAAGTTCCATTGACCCTTTAGGGGTTGGGGTATGATAATTTCCATGATTGGGTGGGTAGTCGTCCAAAAAGGAACTTTCTGTAATAGAACTTCCTGGAAATTTTCAGGTCTACAACATGATGGGGTACTGAAGGGTACGAGGATGGGGGTACATTGTGGAGGTGGTCAGGATAAAACCACGGGGTCCAGTGTCGATTCAGCCCAGCTGACGACATTGTTACCGGTAGGGGTACATATTTTACAAAATTCAAGGAGCTTGGGTGTATGACCCCCAACTTTAACCCCATTTTCTAGGAATTTGATGGGGTTGTCACAACGTGACTCTTAGGAGGACCCCTAAAGTTCAACTTCAAGTAACCCTTTTTGGAAATAATCATTTGCTCCACGTGGCAGGTTGCAGGGTGAGGCCCGTTAGGAAGAGGTGACTTTATCATTCGGGGGGTTGTGGCTGTTGCACTGCTGCAGTGGGGTGAAAAACAGTAAATATGGGGGTGGGGGTATAAATTTGATGGGGTCCTCATGATTCCATGGGGTGGGTATAAAAGACCGGCCCAACGATGTTGAACTTGAGGTCCCGGGGTACGAGCAAGAACGAAATGGCTATGGTAGGGGTATTTTGAAAGGTTTACATGGGGGTGGGGGTACAAAGACTCTAAAAGCACACGTATGTCGGGGGCAGCAATTTCAGTGGAAAAATACTGAGTCAGAACCTTGTTGTGTCCCACGATCGAACACTGAGGCTGGCTTGAAATAGAGCAACAACAACTACGGTTCAGTTCGGCCCGGGCCCGCCGGGCCCAAAGGATCCCACCCGAGTATGAGGGGGATGAGTTAGATCTCGTCGTTGTCCGAACTATGTCGGCATCTTCGGAGAGCGGCGAGAGGTCGCGCAAGAGAAGGAGGAAGACGAGCAGCTCGTGTGAAGGTTAAGAGGATGAAGACGAGACGGATGAAGAAAACAGAACAAGAAAGTTATGCGAGCACGGGCGGCGAAGATCTTCGCAATGCACTGCGGGGGGAGCAGCATATGCGAGCACGGGCGGCAGCGATCAGCATGCAAGGCATGCGGGGTGGGGGTGGGGGGCAGTATGCGAGCACGGGCGGCAGTGATCGTCATGCAAGGCATGGAGGGGGGGGGGGGGA